TCTTAATTTTAGAAATGGCAGGGCAGGAGGCTACTTGTCTTTTTGTATTGCCAAGTATAAATACCTTAAAATGATATGTATATGAATAGGAACTTTTTCTTTTGCATGCTTTTGGGAAGCCCACTGAAAGATAAGACCCAGTAGCTGAATGTTCCCATATTCTTTGAATGTTCAGTAGTCACATCAGCTATCCCATTAAATTGATTTTGAACTTTGTTCCCTGGTTTGACCTTCAAACCTAGTATTAAATATTATCCTGAATATGCTTTTATAATAAAAGATGAGATTATTTTTTTTGCAGATTCAAATTTTCCATTTTTATATCTGCTGTGTTCTGTGTGTATACAAGGCCATTAAAATTATAGAATTTACTTACCATACATTGTTTCTTGCAGGCTAATCACAGTATATAGAAGTGTTACACTGTTACAGTATGATTTAAATATTACTTTATTTTCTGTAGATCAATGTCAGAGTAACCACAATGGATGCAGAGTTGGAATTTGCCATCCAGCCCAACACGACAGGCAAGCAGCTCTTTGATCAGGTAACTTATATGTGTGTCTCTGCATGTGTGTATACAAACGCATAAAACCATTGTGCATATTAAGGCATAGTTTGAGAAAGCAGAAGTGTTCTCATGTATAGATTATGTTTTTCCTTACATTATCGAAGCTATACTCTCAGTTTGAACTTCCTTGTTACTTCTCATGGAATGTATTAAATTCAAAGACAAATCTGTGTAAATAGGTTAACAGTGAAGCTTCAGTTGAATCGTGTATAGAACTGCTTTGAAATCAACAGTGTTTTTTATGTCTAATCATCATAGTTGCAACTGCAATATAATTGTTAGAATTACATGTATGAGAAACTTATATAGCCTTCGCTATTTAATAATGAACTTTTATCATTACATTCATTAAAGAAAGCTAACATCTTTTATTTTTTTTCCAAGAATGGCAGCTGTAGATACTTTTTCACTTCCCAAATGTTAGGAAAGTAATGTTCTCCTAGGACCCAGTTTGAAATCTAAGTTTAAAAAAAAAAAAAAAGACTAAGTGGAAAAGTTAAAATGATGGCTTTAGTGTGCTTATGGATTGCAGACCCATCCGAACTACACATGCTCACTTCATAGTGTCTCTGTCCTGCACCAGTCAAATGGGCTAACTGAATAACTTCTTAAAAAGAGTTGTTCTCATGTTCATTTCATGTGATGTTAGCCATGAGAATCTTGAAACAATTCTTTCATCTAGGTTGTGTAGTGTTCTAGACAATGTTAAGGATAGAAGCTTCTCTATCTGTTGTTTTATTCCTCAAGAAACCAATAAATACATTATATTATCTCGATCCAAGATGTGTGCATTTAGTTGAAAATGGAGAAATATTTGAAATTATTCTTCAAAAACAGTTTAACCATATTAACAATTGTGTCTAGTAGAACTGGTGTTTTTGTCCACTCCACTTTAGATGCTTAAAGTATGTAATGATGGGTATTAAGAGAAAGTAACACATTGAAAGAGTTCTGCAAGAACTCTTAAACTTTTAATTGACCTTGAAGAGTTGATTAAACGTCTTAGTGTATAAGTTGAAAGGAGAAGAATGTTTATTGTTTTGTAACACTGAGCTTTTTCTTTTAGATGAACAAAATTTAATTTGTCTGACCCTTAACACTTCTACCCCCTGCCCCTTTCTCTAACATCAGTAGTAGTATGTCTTCAGCCTCTACATAAGAATAGACTTCATGACTCTTACAAAGACTTTGTGAAGAAAGGGGCTGTCCTGCTTTTTGTCCAACCACACCACCATCAAATAAAAAGTATGGTATGCTGTGGCACAGAAGCCTCAAGCTGTTACTTGTCTTTTGCCAACCTTTGCTATCTTCTGCCATGCAGTACTGGGTGGGGTGACATTCTGCTGTGTAACGTCTTGTGCCCAGGTAATCAGGTTCATCCAAACTGGGGCATTCACAAGCCTGGAAAAAAGATACAGCTCTGAATTCTTTTTCATACTCTCTTCAGCTTTTTACCTTAATTCACTGTGTGGCGTTTGACATCTCACCGTCCTACAATCAACTTCTGGAAGGGTAAATTGAAAAATTGTTGGGTCAAGCAAAATCAACCAGCACAGTTATGTGTGAGGAGAAAGGCATTTTTGGTCTGATCTCAAATTCATACATGAGTTCCACAGAGTAACATCAAGAGCTGAACTGTATTGCAAAACGAGCATGAAATTTTTGGACAAAAGTTATGCTTTCTCTCTACAGAAAGACAATTGAATAGCACTGTTATTGAGAGGATTGGTCTTCAAGGTTTATACAGAAATGGTGGTGGACATAATAGTAGACTTGTTGGTTATTGCTTTCAGAAAATAACATCTCCATGAATTTAGCTGTTGTCTAGTGCTGCTCTATGTTTTTGGTGAACAACTTGTCCTTTTTTTCAGTCAGTGGTACTTTTAATTGGTGTTTTTTAGAATTGTTGATTTTTTTTTCCCATTTCCGTGTGTGTTTTCATCATCTTCATCTGCTACCAGATGAGAATTCAGCATTTGACTTCTGTGCCTTTCTCTTTTCTCTTCCATTGTGAAACTCAGTAAATTTCTTACTTATTGCAAACCCCTCTTTTTTTTTTTTTTAATTACTCGTATTTCAGAAGGTGTCTTAACATATTTATCACTAGTCCTTCTGTCTATCCTGTCAGTTGTCAGAATGGGCAAGCGGGGATCTGTCCTCCTTTAGTCAACCAATTTAGCATCTCTGAGTTTCTGAAGACAGGAAGAACCCTGCGGTGGTTATGTTTCCACACTCTGGTGGTAGTGGTGGGGGTTGTGGTTTTTTTTGTTGTTTTCAATAAGTTGTTAGCAGTGACCATCAGTACCTCTGCTTTCCTGTAGTTGCCATTCAGAAAGAATGAGACGGTTGCTTCCTTTATTTCAAGTTACACCCCACTATCCTTTCCAGATATCTCGGAAGCCTCCCTTATGATCTTTTGGAAGCTGACCCAATGAAATTCTTGCTAAGTTTTCTTTATGCGTACGTTTTGATTTGCCAAAATATGTCTATTGCTCTGGTTGCTTTTATTCTTCAAGAATTTTTTATTGCCTATTAATAGTCAAGGTGTAGGATGTGATGGTGAATAAATCTGTTTTACAGATGTAATGAAGACTTGCCTGAAGCTGCTTAATGAATCTTTTGAGTCAGAATTGAATTCTTTAAGTTTCTTATTCTGCACTTATTTTTCCTGTCACACTACTACAGTGCTTATATTGTCTTGGTACAAAGTTTCAGAAATTTTTTTTCCTCTTTCCTTTGAGCTGAGGGGCAATGATAGATGATGCTCTTTCCTTATTTGTGGATCTGAAGTAAAACAGGCTAATGTGTTTTTAGTGTTGATTTGCAAGCATGTGTAACTCTGTATTGCAGGAGACAAGTTGTCTGTATTTAAATACAATGTGCATCTCAGTTGAAGGGCAGTAGTTAGCAGGTGGGAGAAAAATGTTTTGACATGAGCATAAGCACTTGTCTCCTTATGCCTTATGGTTGGAGCTGTTGTGCATCTGCAGTTCTTGCTGACTTCTGCAGCTCAGAGAGCTGATCAGGTACAAAGGCTCGACTTTGACAGCTGCAAAGTAAAGAGCGTTCTCAGAGTCATCTGATAAAGCGATAAGTAGTTCGATCAGTGTCATATAGGAGGTCTGTGCCAAAAGAAGCAGCAGGTCTGAAATGTCTGAGTTGGGACACCATTTTTAATGCTACTCGGGACCATATTAATAACATAATCTTGTTCTTAACAGTTCTTATGTTCTGAAGTAAATGATGTAGGAATTCTAGAGAAAATAACTGCTCACTACAGGAATTGGGTTGGATCCATGAACGTTGTCCATTCTGTGCTTTGGAGCTTGAAGGTAAAAGGGTAGATAGAAGAGGGGAAAAAAGGTGCACTTGAATGATTGTTAAGTAATAATACAAATATGCAAGGCATCAGAAGTAAGTTTGAACAGCTATCTTGTGACATTTTTCTAATTTTCAAAATCTTAATTTTGCAACCCGATAGTACTACTTTAAAATGGAGGAGGATCTGTGTGTAAAATTCTATTTACTTCACATGCATCTGAATGCTTCCATAAAACAGCCTTCAGTAAACCAGCTTGCCAACATGGTCCAACCTGAGAACATATGTAAGTACTGCCATACTGGGTGTTTTGGAGCCAGTTTACAGTTATTAAATAATCTTTGCTGGACCTTTCTGATTAATTGTTTATTGAATCCATGTGTACTTTTACTACGCACAAGATTTGTAAGATAGTTCCACAGTTCCATTATACTCTGTGTAGCAAAAGTACTTCTTTTTGTTTGCTTTGAACCTGCTATCTAATGATTTCTGTTGATTCTCTTAGGTCTTACATTATGAGAAATAATGAATAATCATTCTCTGTTTTCCTTCTATGTGCCCTGCAAGTTTTATAGACTTATATCATATTTTTCCTTTCCCCATTTTTATGTCAGTAGCCTTAGTTCTTGTCTTAGCTGTGCAGAAAATGTTCCATGTCATTGATCATTGATCATTCTTTTAAATGTTTCTGAAACATTTCCAGTGCTGCAGCATCCTTTTTTAAGTTGATGTGACAAGTCCATATGTAGTACTAGATATTTGGGAATACCGTAGACGTGTATAGTAATATAACAGCTTTGTTGCATTTTTCCTTTACAACAAGAACTTTGCTCACATAATTAAAATGGTTGTCTTTTATGTACAGTATTTTGATTAAATATTATCTTTTATTGAGGTTCATCTTCCTTTTTACTGTTCATTCACAGATCTTTAGGGAAGGTTTTCTGCAGGTGATTTTGTCACATCAGTTTCATCTTTTTTTGCAGATCATCTATGAAGTCCTGGTGGACTTCCCTAGTGGTTACAATACAAGTCTGTTGTGAAAACAGTTTGCTTATTTTTTCTTTCTTTTTAACTAGTATATCCATAAAAAGACCTTCCCTCTCTTCAAGGACAGTTGTGTTTCTTTGGTAGCCTTTGGACCTGATCAGAAATCTTACAGGAAATCCATGTATGGTTTATCAGCTGTATCATTCTTATCCCTTTTATCATTAACTCTTAGAAGATCTCAAAAATATTTGAAGGGGGTGATTCATCCTTATTACCTCATACTTGTCGATAAGTAGTAATCTTTATTATAATTTCACCAGTTGTCTTCTCTTGAAGTGGACTGACTTGTCTGTGGGCCTGCACATTACTTCCTAGACATGCTTTGAAATATTGAGATTCTCTTTGCTACCTTGTACTCCTCAGGTGCTGTGTTTGATGCAGGCAGTAAGCTGCACGCTCCAGTTGGTAGTTTGGCAACACGATGTTTGAGTTTATTTAGAACACTGAGGTGAATGCTTCTCTGAACCTGATGTTTTGCTACTATTTTTTTTTGTTCTTTTGAAACTTGGTTATATTTCTGTTTGAGATGGTTTCTGTAGCTTAATTACCATTTAAAAAAATCCTGTTGTAGTGATTACTGATGATTATGGATCATTTATCTTTAGGTGGTGAAAACTGTTGGTCTTCGTGAAGTCTGGTTTTTTGGGCTACAGTATGTGGACAGCAAAGGCTACTCAACTTGGCTGAAGCTAAATAAAAAGGTAACAACAATTCACTAATATTTAGGCAAGTGTACAGTTGGAATTACACTTTTCTAAGGCTTGCTGCTTTAATGTTGTAGGTGATATATAGCTGGCTTCAAATTTAGTTGAAAAGTTGCTTTTTGTTTGTTTTAAATGGCAAAAATACTGTGTTAAGTTTGCTTAGTTATAAAAGAATATGCAAAACTGCATCAACATTTATTTGAGGAGATACAGTTTCCTGTATTTCCAGTACCATGGTGATGCATGAATTAGGAAAACAAATTTATTTGATTGTCCCATTTTTATGTAGCAATAAATGTTTTACAGTTGGGGGTGTGTGTGAAGTATTTGAGCTTCAGGAATTTGCACATATACAGCTATTGATCTTTCAACAAGGCACCAATAATAGGCTCCTAAACTTGTCTTTACATATCTAATAGGTAGGTTGTAGGATAATTTTTGATTTGTTTTTCCCCAACAGCACTGAGCACCTTTTATCTCCCAGCTGTTGGGAACTGGGTCATTTTAATTTCAGTTCCATTTATGAATTTGAATGGTCACTTTTTGTTTTAATATTGGCTGTCAGGTTATTAATAGCACTGTTTAGAATAAAGAGGGTTTTTAAGTTCAACTGAATCACGAATACCTTTTTTATCTTCGGTATTAGGAGGTAAATTGGGAAGTTTTAGGAACAAGTCCTACTCTCTGCATTCATCTTTACTTCTCTTCTGTGGTAAATTCAGTGATTTACACTGACACCAAAGGTGTCTTCTAGAATTTGATACGTGTCTTGTTTCATACACAATAAACTGCTACAAATATTTTGTTAGCCCTAATGATTTGTTTCCAGTGGTTGGAGACTACAGGATTTGGTGCAACATTTGTGAAAAATACAGAAGATGTAGCTCTATGAAAATCTTTAGCAAGTTAAGTTGCTGGTACAGTTCAGGAGCAACGGGGGTGTGCTGATTTCTTTAACTTAGACTAAGGCAGTTATTGTTTTGTTGGTTTTTTTTTTTTTTTTTTTTTTTTAAACTTGTAACATTTGATTGTTAAATGCATCATCATAAACTGGCTCTAACTTGTAAGTACTATTTAATACTTGCCTTAATACAGATAAGACCTGATAAATTACAGAATAGATGTGCAAATAAGGTTTTATTATGGCAAGAGCACAACTCATTGTTCACTGATGAGATTAAAGTGAAATACTGTGTATGTAAATCAGAAGCAGATGGCTAATAATGAAAAGTGAGCAAAACTTTTATGTGAAATACTGTGTATGTAAATCAGAAGAATATGAAAAGTGAGCAAAACTTTTAAAATTGACATCTGAAATGTTGAGTGTAATACTTATGATGCCTTACATATGTGATTAAGTGGTTGCATTATATTTACAGTTTTTGATACTTCCTACAAGTCAAGCAAACAGATGTATAATTTCATGTGTAGAGAAGAAGTTCTAGAGGGACTATTAATGCACATAAAACTAAATGTGTAATAAAATGCTTAAGGAATTGGAATGTACAAGATTTATTTTATTATGAATGTACCTTTTAACAATCACTGTGTTATTTGATGTTAAAATTAGTTTAATTTTGGATGGTTTTGCTTTAGTCATAATCAGTGCTGAAAGCTGAGTCCAAATGAAATGGAAAATTCTACGTAAAAATAAGGTTTTGTTAAGATGACCACATCTGATCTCTTTACAGAAATCATGATTATAGGGATTATCCATTCTAGAAAAATAGTGTCATTAAAGGAATTACATTTTTTGCAGAGGAACTAAACACATGTATTTAGTTCAGTAGTTCAAAGACTTTTAAAAGACTCCCACTTTACACTTACATTGAAGAAACTTGCTGTAGTTCTTGCTAAAGAAACCTTGTTAGATCCTAATTTGTTACTTCTGCAATTCATCCTTGGATATAGCTTTGATTTTTTTAATATGTATTACAGCTTCCTTTTTTTCCCCCAGATCTTTATTGTTATAAGTACAAATTAACGCAAGCCTACAAAAACCCTCTTAAACAGCTTTTGAGTATTTCAAAACGGTCTGGTTTATCCAAATTGATTTGGTGCCATATGGACCTTTAGTGAATTCCATAATAGGCTTGTCAGGAAACACCAGATTTGAATGTAGAGGAGCTAAAGAATTCATTACTACTGAGATAATTGTATTTAATATACAATTTAGTGCTCTTTTTATTTCTTTCTTTATTCCTCTCCCTCAGGTAACCCAGCAAGATGTAAGGAAAGAAAATCCTTTGCAGTTTAAGTTCAGGGCCAAGTTTTTTCCAGAGGATGTATCTGAAGAATTAATTCAGGAAATAACTCAGAGACTTTTCTTCCTGCAAGTCAAAGAAGCGATCTTAAATGATGAAATATATTGCCCCCCAGAAACTGCAGTTCTTCTGGCTTCTTATGCTGTCCAGTCCAAGTATGGAGATTACAGTAAAGAGATACATAAACTAGGCTACCTAGCCAATGACAGACTTCTCCCTCAGCGGTGAGTGAGACTACACGTGATTTTGCATTATCTGCTGCATCTAAACTTGATTACAGCACATTTTTTTGTAACTAAAATATTGAGTGATAATGGTAGCTTTCCTAAGAGTGCCTGTTTTGCTAGTAAAAATTACAGATCCTAATTTAGACTCTACATAACAAAGAAGCATCACAACCATGGGTTTCTTGAGATCTATTTCCTGTCCCGTCTACAACCATCTGCACAGACTTAGCTGAACAAATTTCCAAAGTACTGCAAAATGATTTAGTGTTCCCGGAGGCTTGCTTCTGCTAAATTAAAATACTCTAATACAGAAGTCACTAAGGTTCCTTTGATACTTGCTCCTTTTCTTCAGTTCTTGATGGTTTTGTACACTTAAATGATAATAATTTCCTGAAAATAATTACAGAGTGTATTGCAAATAAAATATATTGCAGAAGAATGCTAGCCTGGACAGAAAATTTAGAAACTAAATTGTTGCCATTGCTGTTGAATATAAAATCTTTTGTATCAGTCAGTTATCTAATTGGTTAAGAAAAGTAAGCACCAAGTTTATAGTTCTGTTTCTTTACGCAACTGAAACCACGCTCCTGGCATGTTTTGGCAGCAGGAGAAGCGTTGCAACACAAGTGTGCGAAGTTAGACAATTTTGTTAGTGTAGATAAATCCATAGTGATGTCTGATGGACAAACGTGCACTTACTAAATATATAACATTAATGCGTCTTCAAAGAAATGAGACCCATGGAATAATTTGAGATTTCTTTAAAAGTCATATGCTCTGTATCTTTAGTTTGAAAAGTAGAAGTAGAAACTCAATTCTTAGTGTAACTAAGCTGGAGAAATTTCTAGGAAGCGAAAAAGCACTTCAAAAAGATTGTGGTGAAGGATTGAAGGAAATATTCCTGAAAATGTTTCAGATTTTTAGAAATCCTGGCTAAGAGTTGGGTTTTGGCTGTTTACTTCGTTCTTGTGACTGTGAAGTCTGTACCTCTTTATAGAAAAATACCCTTTTTTGGGAAGGCCGGGAGATGTAGAACCAGCAAAACTGTTGTTACTGGGTATGTTGGTTCACAAATCTTGGGTTTTGTTCAGTTATGATGACAGCCTGTGAACAGTAGAGTGCTTGTGTATGACACAAATTCAAATACTTAAGATGCTCCTTTTCAGTAGACAAATGTTCACATGATTTCCCAGCATATGCTTTCAACCAGTCGCGTGCCAGTCTGCACTGAGTGAGCACATAGCTTTTGTATTCATTCTAACACAATTATTCCTCTTTCGCCTCCTGTCACCAGGAGACTTGCCAGAAAACTAACAAGGACGTCATAAAAGTACTTCAGAACAATATACAATATAATGTCAAAAATATTTACTTGTTTCCCAAAGTAGACTAGCTTTGCAAAATTTTGCTGAAAAAGGTGAGAAAATGTTTGCAGTTCTTGTTAATTATAGAGTCTTAATGTCCATGTGTCAAAACTACTGCATATTTTTTGGCTCAAAACTATGAGCTGGGTAGCAACAAGGCATCAAGTCCTTGCTGAGTTATTCTGTTGCAGTACTCCTTGCATATCTGCTAGTGGTGTTTCCTCAGTAGTGTGTGAAGAGAGAATGGAGGGGGCCAAATGATGAGATGATTATCACCAAAGATATTGCCAGCTTTGAGAATATCATAGAAACATAGAATCATTTGAGCTTGGAAGGGGAGCTGTGACGACCGTCTGGTCCAATCCCCTTTACTCACCTAGAGAGGTGGTCGATGCCCCATGCTGGTCAGTGTTCAAGAGGCATTTGGGCAATGCCCTTAATAACATACTTTTAAGTTTTGGGCAGCCCTGAAGTGGTCAGGCAGTTGGACTAGATGATTGTTGTAGGTCCCTTCCAACTGGAATGTTCTACTCTACTCTACTCTACTTGCAGCAGGTTGCTCAAGGCCTTTTCCAGTTGCGTTTTGAATATTTCCAAGGATGGACACTGTGCAACCTCTCTGGGCAACCTGTTACAGTGTTTGATCACCTTTGCAGTAAAGAAATAAAATAAAAAATTGTGTTTCAAGTGTATTTCAGTTGTGCCCATTGCCTCATGTCTTTCAACTCAAATTCAATTCAAAAAGAGGAAAGTGCAAAACGTTTCTGTACAAGTAGAAACTTAACTTAATTTGGAAAGCACAAGTCACCATGTGGGTGACTAAGTGCTGGCACAGATTGCCTGGAGAGCTTGTGGAGTCTCTGCCTCCTTAGACATATACAAAAGCTGTCCAGACATGGTCCTGGGCTACAGGCTGTAGGTGACCCTGCTTGAGCAGAGGGGAGGACAAGATGATCTCCAGAGGTCACTTCCAACCTCACCATTCTGTGAAGAGAGCTTGGGAGCAGGGCTTTTATTTTCAGGTGGGCCCTTGTGTGACGTAATCCTGGGATAGTGTATCCTGGTTTGTCCTTTTTTTTTTTTTTTGATTGTTAGCTTTATGTTATACTATGAAGGCTTTTGAACATTTTGTGAATATCTGCTGGAGGAGTAGAAGAAATAATGCTGGAAAGCAGCTCAAAATGTAAATACCATAATGTAAAAATCAGGCCTGGTTTAATTACAGAACTTCTTTAATAAATTAACATTGTCCTAGGAGACTTGGAATTAATTTTTTTATGTAATAGAAACTTGTAAATGACTGCCAGGATGCTTGTAGATTATTACAGCCAAAGCAGGCTATTGTACTTTATGCATTCTGTTACAGGCTTCTGTAAGTGTTAAATTTAGGGCTTATACTTGTATTTGAGGCTAAAGACGAGAGAACAGACAAACAAAAAGGATGTCTTGTCATTGCATGTTCTTGTATTGTTGAGCTATGAACACATCAGCTTTGTGCAGGTGCAAAAACTGGAACCTCTGCCTCAGTTTTGAGGAGGAAATAGGGATACACACTAAGCAAATCAAAACGTGATATGGATACCACTGAAGAATGTACATCAGTAGATAATGGGGCATAGTAGCAAATCAAGTGACAGATTCTGTAACAGAAGAAACACTGCATTAGTATCTTTTGCATCAGTCAGTCTCTTCCTTATTGTACTTTGTTAAAAAATGTAGGGCAAAAGTAGTAAATCCTTACTTTCCTGAGTAAAGAAAAAGGAAGGAAAACAACTGTTCTGACTTCTTTAGTGAGGTAGTGAGATTATCTTGCAGTTCTTTTTTTTTTTTTAATTGTCCTTTAAAATAATTTCTCTAGGAATGCTTGAAATGCTACGTGCATGGAATAAAAGCATAATAAAGTTATCATACACATTTGGTTTCTTACTGCAGTACTACATTGAAAGTTCTAGCAGGTCCAAATATAATTCCATCATTGCAGCTGGCTGTAGATAAACATCAAATAGTTTTCTGAAACTGCTTTGCTAGTGATTTTATTTATTGAAAAACACACAAACAAAAAAAATCCCCTCCCAGCCCCCAAGAAACTAATCTGCTGACTTGTCTTAATGTGTTACTTTGTCTTTCAAGTGACAGCAGAAGGAAAGCTTGAGTGTACCTGTGCATACCTAGAAATTAATTTTCAGCATTGTTGTTTGAGGATTTTATAGGTCTGTATTTTCAGGTGTTCCAAACATTACATTTTATGACTTTACTGAAAGTTGAGATATGCCATGGTGTGATTTTTGTAGTACAAAGAGTATCGAATGCCATGAAAAAAGAAGTGATTTCACACTGTTTTAAAAGTGTATTTGTTGAAATACAAAGCTTCTGTGTCTGGGTTAAAAAGTTGAGGAGTGTATAGGAAGTCATGTTTAAGTTTATTCAATTAAAGCATGTTATGCTGCGTAACCAAACTTATTTTTATAACTTCAAGAGGTTAAATAGGTTGTCAGTGTCATTTAATAGCAACAACTTCTATTCACAGTGTGTTAGAACAGCACAAACTGACAAAAGAACAGTGGGAAGAAAGAATACAGAACTGGCATGAAGAGCACAGGGGAATGTTAAGGTAATTACATTTAAAAAAAAAATAACGTTCCAAGACCTTTAAGGTTTTTTCATTACTATTAAGATGTATTTTGGGAAGTGGCATGTTTGTTTGGAAACTGCTTGCTTTTATTCTGACCAGGGTAGGCGTTTATCAAAAACTTCCATGAAAGTTTCAGTGAGGGCTGAGTTTCCAATTAGGTTATTGGCTTACCTACATGATAAGGTTGTCAACTGCCTTTGCCCAGTTGCCTGCCTCTAAAATAGATTTAGTATTTGCTTAGCTCATGGGGTGAAAAGACAAAGTGCGATGATTGGACTGTACTTGGGTACTAGGGTGTAGAGCTCTATAAGTATCTGAGTCAACGTACACATGAATTTCAGAGAAATTTAATTCCTAACTGGATTTTACACTAATTAGTTATTCTGCAGTTCCCTTATTCTTACAACATACTTTTGATTTGTCTACACTATGCCTTTTTTTATTTCTTCTTTCATCAGGGAAGATTCTATGATGGAATACCTTAAGATAGCACAAGACTTGGAAATGTATGGAGTCAACTATTTTGAAATAAAGAATAAAAAAGGAACTGAGCTGTGGCTTGGAGTTGATGCTTTGGGTCTAAATATTTATGAGCATGATGATAAGTAAGTGGCTAATACTTATTTTGCAGTTCTGTTCTAGGAGATCCTATGTGAGATTATATGAAAACCACCTTATTGTGTGTTCAATAACATCTGGCAAAACAGGTTCTTAAAGATCACATAATCTATGTAAAAGACCGAAAAAGAGAGATAGATGTTAATTGCCAGAATATTTGAATTTTAAAGCTTAAATGGGAATGCAAAAGAAGGGAAAGGAAGATCAGTTCTGTGGAAACTTGAATTTATGTTGCTTAATATGGATGTATGATAGCTAGACCATCTTTATATGTTTTTTTGTCTGTACTTTTCATTCCCTCAAGACTACTTCAGTCAGGATGAAAAGGACATTGAGAAGCTGAGCAGCATATTTAATGAGAAACATTTTGATAAGAGCAGCAACTAGGATTGTAGCTGTTAGAGCATGAAAAACTTTGGTATCTAAAAGTGAGACCTTTAGACATCAAAGAAAATAGAAAATCTTTTGTCTTCATAAAGAGATCAAATATTCTGTCCTACTTAAAGAGGGATAAAGCTGAAATGTACAAAATTTGAAGAATCTGAAAACAGAACAGCAGACTTATTCTTTTATTTCTTTCCAAACACTTGCTAGTAGCATCTGATGTCAACAGTCCTTTCACAGTGATTTGAAGTTAAACATGATGTTTCAAACAGAAGATAACAGCTGTCAGCTGAACTGAAACTTAAGGCTCTTCGATGCATATACTCTGTAACAAAATTCTGTAAGCCTTAATTGCCATTAGATGGCAATATAACTCCTGAACGAAGGAAATACTCAAAAAATGTTTAGATCATATTGAATGATCAACCAATTTTTGGTATTCTTTAACACCTGACAGTTAGCGATCAAATACTTAAACATTTTCTAATGCTTGTAATTAAGATAATATGAATTGAAAAAACTTTCTGTGCTCATGGAGAAAAATATTTACAGTTATGCAGTTGGTGCATAACATTGTAGTGGTTTCTGAACTGAATTTATTTTACTTAAGATACAAGGGAAATTAATTTAACTTGAACTTTGGAAATGTAAGAACATCTATCTTACATGTGAGTTAAATTGAAGTACGACATTGCTGAAGGCTAACTTAATTTCTGTCTTTAAAATGTCAGACTTTTCTCAAATTTTAATAGGTATTCTTTTCACTGAAAATAAAATTGTCAATAGCTTATAAAGTATCAGTACACGATTGTGATGTTTAGCATCTGTTTAATGCTAGTAGAATAAGTCACAAATTGAAAGTCTTTCTTTTACAGTGCCATGTAATTTAGTTATTTGATGGAATAATGTGTAAAAAAAAAAAAGTCTACTAAAATATGCTTGAACTGTTATTACATTTTGTAAATGTAACTGTGATAGTGAAAATGGTGTGGAGTTAAGACTTAGTGGACATAAATAAAATGCACACCCTTGCTGCTTCTAATGAGAACTTTTTCTCTTTGAAGGCTGACACCCAAGATTGGTTTTCCCTGGAGTGAAATAAGAAACATCTCTTTTAATGACAAAAAATTTGTCATAAAGCCAATTGACAAAAAGGCCCCCGTAAGTAGTGTATAGAATAGTGTGCCTTTGTACATAAAGAGATTCAAGCCTGCGGGGACTTGCTCTGGCATTATAGCATGAGTAAATATTTTGTGACATTATTGGTAGAATAGTCAGTAATCAAAATGAAAATTTGAAGTATGGTATGTTTTTTTCTCTTTTCATTCTGGTTGATACTTTTAAGATTTTGTTGTTTGTTTATGTTAATTTAACTAATATTTTGTGATGTATTGAAAAGCCAGAGTGTAAGATTCTCTGGCCCCTCATCTTTGTTTTTCTTTTTTTTTGTATTAGAGCAGCACATTTCATGAGACTTTCTAGGTCAAAACTCTTCAGAAGTAGAGTGGAGATTACTCTCACTTTTTTAGAAGTTTAAATAAATGATTTTGTGTAAAATAACCAACTCACATGGAGGAATCCATATGTAGCTTTGCTGACAGTAACTAAATTTATAGATTATGGTGTTGGATTGCTCAGAGGATGAATGTCAAAATACTTGTAAGTTTTAAAATGTAACAAATGCAAGCATGCAGTAATGCTTTGAGTCTTGTCACAACTTTATTTTTAGATTAATGGATATGCTGCAATTATTTTTGCTAGGATTTTGTTTTTTATGCACCCCGTCTGAGAATTAACAAGCGAATTTTGGCACTGTGTATGGGAAATCATGAATTGTACATGAGGAGGAGGAAACCTGATACAATTGAAGTGCAACAGATGAAGGCCCAAGCTAGAGAGGAGAAACATCAGAAACAATTGGAAAGGTAATTAACAAACTTCCATGAAACAGAAAAAAATTCTTCTACCCTTTTAAGAAAACTAAGTCATAGAATATCAGACATCTTAGTATTCTAGAAAAGAGAGCGCTGCTTTTCTTTCTGTAATATGTAAGCAGGTTTGTGGATTGGCACGGCTCACCTGTCTTAATAGAAAGCCGTATCTTTTTTTGAGCTTTCAGCATAGTAATAGTAGCTCTACTGTTGTTTCTCATTATGTTTCTGTGAAACAGTCTTAACTCTCTGTTGCTTGATCCTTAGGGACTTTTATAATCTACAGGTGAACCTTTAAAGCAAGTTCAGTGAAGAATGTCATGGGTTACCTTTTGTATATTTAAAAAAAAAAACGTTGCCATTTCTAGCCCAGATGAAACATCAGCCATGTCTAAAATGCAGGTATAATTGTGGATTTACCTAGCTGAACCATAACAAAGGTTGCTAATCAGTTCTGTTCGTAAATTGATTTTCTGTACAGTATATTGAAACAGAAACTTGTTCTTCTTGCATTGTAAACTGAATTTGAAATAGTTAAAACTACCTGCTTCTCTGCTAGCTGAGTTAACTGAAAAATAGACTACCAGCATCTTTAGAGTAGAATTTGATCTGTTTGATCTGTTTGAGGTTATAAAACCCCACCTTTTACTATTTTTTCAGGGCACAATTAGAAAATGAGAAGAAGAAAAGGGAGATAGCAGAAAAGGAGAAGGAAAGAATAGAGCGTGAAAAGGAAGAATTAATGGAACGCTTAAGACAAATTGAGGAACAAACAATGAAAGCTCAGAAAGGTGAGCTCTTACTGGTCCTGGATTTCTTATATCTGATGCCAATTTTTAGTTCAGTTGGGTAGTTCAGTTCCACAGTTCTCTTGGTATGTGCGGTTTGGTTTTTTATATTTTTTTAAAATTTATTTTTTTAATAATAACAACAAGAATTTAGTGGTGTTTTATTTAAGAGAGATTATTTTTCATTGTTAAGAGCTAAAAGATGGTCTGCATGCATATGTGTGTATATTTGTAATACAAAACTGGTTCCTAATGATAGCAAAAATTTCAATTTTCTTTAATAAAAAGGAAATTAGTGTGTGCACAGTTCAACTCAGAGTTATAAAATGCTTGAAGTGCTGAAAACCTGGAGTTGGAGAGAGCAGGGAAATCGGGAAAATTCAAAAGTGTTTCCTCCAGGATTTTATTGAATTTTATCTTTTCATTTGGAAATTCCTTCTTCCTGCATTTTCCTATTCCCTTGTAAGACTTGAGAATTTTAAAATTACAATCTTGTTAGATTTTAGTGAATAAACGTAGCTTCACCAATCACAGTTCTGTGTGTTGAACCACCCTGTAGAGTCCCTGCCTCTACTACTTCCCAGTCCCTCCTCTCCATGTTCTTTTTTTGCTTTAGGTTTGGTTCACATTCATTAAAGTTTTGTTCCTGTCCTCTGTTCATAACTGTTGGCTTCAGGCACAACAGAGAGAATCACTGACTAAATCGACACAAATAAATTACATATGCCTAGCACTGTTCTCCACCTCTGCCTGTGCATTTTTTCAGTCTTTCAATGCAGAACGGGTTGGATGTATCCAGACAGGCAACACACGAACTGTGCCTTGGAATTGTTTAAGGGAGAGCCATTTAACCCAGGACAAAATAGTGTCGGGGCGATTCTAAAGGTTTAACAATATACAATTTTTGCTTAACTCTTGTAAGCCATATAGCCTAATTTCTGATGCAATACATAATGCTCATGTGTTGCTGGTCTTTTTAGCCTTCTATTCACAGATGGAAAAGTGTTTATATAAAATGATGTTTGTGTTCTGTTGTTGACTTGGTAGCTAAGTGTTCTCCATTTTCATGGGAAGATTTTGTTTGAGTAGTGTTTTTAGAAAATTAAATAAAATGCATAAATATTTAACTATTGCATTTGTACAACTCCACATACTTGTAATGCTGTTGATTTAATTTTATAACTGAAGTTGTAGGCCTGGGAAACCAACTGAAGAATATTGATTACATGAGACCTACTTAAAACTACAAGTGCAAAGATCAAGCGTGTGCCAGCATACCTGGGGAGATGCTTTTTCAGTATGAAAGCGTGCGGTGAAGGGCAAATGGATCGTTCCAATAACTGAGCAGTTGTTTAGGTTCTCTGGTGAAGGAATCTGTGGCAGCTATGCCTAGACAAAAATGTAGTGGAGAAATTATCATTAGAATCAGCAAGGAACTTCATGAAGCCTTTTTTTGTAGTAACTTTGTTTTGCACATCAGAGGAGCGTATTTTGGCTGTGCAAATCTTACCTTCCAGTACTGGCAGATTATTACTTCCTCCTATTTCACTCAGGGTTGTTCCCTTTAGATAGCAGTATTTTGCGAACCAGGCAGCTGGGCAACTATTATCCCTCCCTCGATTTAAAATTTTCCTGTTTGTATCTTTCTGGCTCTGTTCTACAGACAATTTTTCTGACCCTTCCAATAGGTCTTAGGTCACTTTGCTGGAGGCCTAAATTGTCTGTAGCAATTAAGGACTCTTTGTCAGGCATTTCAATAGAGTAGAACAATTTTTGCTTTTTTTACTGTCGGAAAGTATGATTTAATGTATTGAAAATCTCCTCGATAGTAAGAGTAAGGGTGTATGTGCATGTATACGTACGTATTTTTGGGGGTTTCGTTTCATCAGTGAGGTGATAATTTTCTGAAATGCTGGACTGTCAGGTGAGGTGAAGTATATCCAAAGTATGTCATAAAGAGCGGGGGGAGAAAAAAATCAGACATGGAGCATAGCTTCAGGTAACATCCTCAACAGCTCTTCTTAGCTTGAGGCAGCCTTGTAAATCTTTGTCAGCTTTTTAGGTTACTTTATGTTGAGCATGTTACAGCTGTTATCTGCGTTACGTATGAGGAAGAGCTGGGCGGTGATATGTTGTCTCCAAACTTCCCTTTTGGCAGAGCTAGAGGAACAGACTAGAAGAGCTCTAGAACTGGATCAAGAGCGAAAGCGTGCAAAAGAGGAAGCAGAGCGCCTGGAAAAAGAGCGGCGAGCAGCTGCAGAAGCTAAAGCTGCTCTAGCCAAGCAGGCAGCTGATCAAATGAAGAACCAGGAGCAGCTAGTAAGAAGCTTTTAACCCTGTTTTGAAACAAATTGAAAAAGAGAGTTGAAAATGTAGCCTTTATTCTTGGTTATATCTATTTTGTCAAATGGACAAGTATGTTGAAACACAGATAAAAGTATGTGAAATACTGTTACAGATTGTTGTGGGAACTTTTTTAGAAAACTACATTAGATTTGCCACTTTTTGCAAGAAAAAAAACCACCCCAAACTCTGGAGCTGTAGGAAATTAGATGATGAAGTAGACGGTTCAGACTGACAACACTCACTACATTCTCTTTCTAATGGTGTCAGGCTTGTCCACCTGAGAACAAGAGTAGCTTCCTTCTGCAGTCCATTGGGAAGCCTCTTCTCTGAGGCAGGTCTGTTCTGAAGCTTGACAGTGGTGGTGGGGAGTTGGTGACACTGTGGTTTGGGGCTTTTTTTATTTGTGTTTTTTTGTTGTTGTTTTTTTTCCCCCCATTTCCAGCTTTTACAGTATCTTCTCACATTCTGTACTAGACTACTTCTAATTCAAGATTTGTGCTTAATAACGGAGAAAGGCACGAAAATAGTGGAAGAAATGATTTCTCAACTTCTGATCTTCTGTAAACTTAGCACATAATTCTGAAAGCAAGATTGAGCTTAATAGTACTGAGATTATGATCCAGAATCATAATCTGATTGGTGGAACCATTAAAGTTGTATTAAACTGAAACAATCCCAAATGCTAATTTGTAACTACAGCTTGCGCTTTCCCAGCAAGCTTTGGAAGTGCAGAAGATAAATATTTTTTTCTGGACTTACTTCCATCAGGCAAGAGTACTGATTCATTCCCTCTGCCGTGTATGCTTAAAATTTCTATTTATAGCGGAAAAGTGATGGATGGTAACTAACTCTTTTCAAGTCGGATCACAGCAAAGGCTCTGGTTTCTTCTGCTGCAGAACCAAAATGATATCAAATTAAAATTTCTACTTCATTTTTTTGTTTGTTTCAGGCAGCAGAACTTGCTGAATTCACTGCCAAGATTGCACTTCTAGAGGAGGCCAAGAAAAAGAAAGAAGAGGAAGCCTCAGAATGGCAGCACAAAGTAATGAGCTCATGCTGTGTGAAGTCAGAACTTCAAAGAAACTAAGGGAGATGAGTGCGGAAATCCCACTGGAAGTCCATGGGGTTGAATCTCTCTCTCTCTCTCTCTCTCTCTCTCTCTCAAGCTTCAGAGAGGCCTTTCTTAAAGGTTTTTCTTCTCCAGTCTACTAAAGCCAGCCTATACTTCTATTTAACTCATTTCTTACTATTAAATAGTCACAGAAGGGGTGAAATTCTCATCACAAAGGTATGGTCAAAGATTTGAAATGGCTTCCTTACATATGGTGCTGAAATAGGTTGAAGCTTCGTGTTGGAAAAGAAAATGCCTCAGGAGGGAGGTGTATAAAATAAAGAGCGGTGAAAAGATGGACCAGAACAATAACAAAGGCACATCAAATGTAACTGCATAACAGTTTAAAGCAAAATAATATTTATTCACAAAATATGTAATTAGCTATGGGGTGTGAATACTAATTGTGTGCACAGGTTCAAAAAGTGATTGAACAAATTCTTATAAGTTCTGGTTGAATATGAAATTCAAAGACGTCACCTTTGATTTAGGAAGTCCCTGAGCCTCAAATTTCAGGACGCTGGGAAGGTTGGAAAGCAATCAGTATGACTGCCCTATTCTCTCACTCTTCTCTTGTCTACTGCTGGAAAAAGCCAGACTCCGGTACAGTTGGTTTTGAGTCCTGTCTTTTTTACTCTGTATTCCTATTCGACAATTTTCAGCGCACAAGCTAGTTGTGTCATTTATGAAGGACAGTTTCCATGTGTCTGAAGACATCTCAAATATTTAGTTTTATTTTTCTGACTATCCATAAATCATTTTAAAAGATGCTAAGTACTGTTTACTTATATTTAGGCTTTTGCAGCTCAAGAGGACTTGGAAAAGACCAAAGAAGAACTGAAATCTGTGATGTCTGCTCCTCCTCCACCTCCTCCCCCACCAGTTATTCCTCCAACAGAGAATGAACATGATGAACATGATGAGAACAATGCTGAAGCCAGTGCAGAATTGTCTTCTGATGGTGTCATGAATCATAGGAGTGAGGAAGAACGGGTAACGGAAACACAGAAAAATGAACGTGTTAAGAAGCAGCTCCAGGTAATGAAGATTCATGGTTTTATCAACATAATTCAGGCTTTGGGTTTTCATTCTTTATTTGTCAGAAATCTCATTGAAATTATGGTGTGCCAAGGAAACAGCCTTTTTAACATTTACTATGTTTATTACTAATTTACCAACTAATATAATTCATAGTGTTCTACAAGTGGAATAGGTAAAAGATTGGATGTGAGATTGTGCTCTATAGCTTAAAAGTATTAATATGTTGTCGCATTAGCCAGTGAACATTTCTGATAATTATATAGTGTCCAGGACACCAAGTGTTAAAACATAACGCTTTCCTTCCTCAATACCGAAATTTATTAAGTGGTAGGAACAGATGCTTGCTTAGTAGTATTTGTGTTTATTTGCAGTTATTCATAGATGATGTAAATGCAAAAACTGAATTATGCCCATTTTGAATTAATCTTATTTCCCTGAAATGGAGCATTTCCTCCTAGACTAGTCTTACCCCTCAAACTATAATCTATGTTAGTGGTAACCCTTTGCCTTATTATGAGATGTCTATTTGGGAAGGAAATAAAATGGAAAACTGCTTCTTTTTCTGGCAGAAAAATCTTAGTAGCATGTATGTGTAATATCCTTTCTGCTTGGCTAATCACTGAACAGCATCAGGGAGATAAACAAGAACTGTCTTTAGTCAAGCAGAAATTGAAAAATGAGGTCATTCTGCTGCTTTATACTGCTGTTCCCATTCTTCTTGGATGTTATGGTTGAGGACTTTTTTTTTGTTTTGTTTTGTTTGTTTGTTTGGTGCCCACATTTGTGTAAAGAAAGAATCCTGTGCTCTCCTTCTCTTTTTCTCCGTAGTCTTTCTGATAGACCTCACAACTTGAGTTACTGAACAGCACAACAAGCATTTCATAGGTTGGCATTCAAGAAATCCTTATCCCAGTTGCAGGATAATTGTTATCAGAAATTCCAGAATCAATAAAAGATTAGCCAAGGCACTTAAATACAAATATTTTATTCAACAGGCTTTAAGTTCTGAGTTGGCTCAAGCCAGAGATGAAACCAAGAAAACACAAAATGATGTCCTTCATGCTGAGAATGTTAAAGCAGGCCGTGATAAGTACAAGACTCTTCGACAAATCCGACAAGGCAATACAAAGCAGCGTATTGATGAGTTTGAAGCAATGTGAGAGCTGTTTTATTGCGTATATGTTCCTCGTAAAGCTGAACCACCAACAGAGAAAAAAAAGCAGGCCTTTGCAGATTTGATGGATTGCACCCCACTTTGCCAAAGCACTTAATACCAGTTTGACTACAGTGGCTAGAAGACAAATTTAGGGGAAGCTATTGAACAGTAAGGCAGTCTGTCATCCCAGGCTTTTTGGAGGGGGGAGGGTGTGGAGAATGATAGCAGTTTTTTCCCCATCATGTTTTCAGTTTCTTGTTTTATATTTTTTTCTTTGGAAACTGATGTGAAGTATAGAATGACTGACAAGTGTATGTATTGCTTAAACATTAAGAAATAGAAAGAAAATGGAACTGAACCTAAACTCGATAGGTACTATTTCAGTATGAAGTTTGAAATTACTGTAGCTACACCATTAGGAGTTTGATATTGCTAACTTTCAGTTTCGTTCTTTTTCTCCCAAGTGAAATTCTTTGGTGTTTCATGTCCTGTCATCATTGATGGTTTTCTTTGCCTGCCTGTTCACAAAGGTCTGGATGGCAGGTGGTAGTTCCAGGAAATGTTTTTAAATGGAACACTACCTGTGGGCAGCACGTGGCTGCTGATAGGCTTGAAGAAGTATTGCTTTTCCTAGGTGATTCTTTTAGATGCGCAAAATGTTCTAATGCAGCAAAGGGGGGGGAAAAAAACCCCAAACACAAAGCTTCACGTGCTATTTGCTTGTAATTATTTTATTTGCAGTAGGGAGACCTGGACCTTTCTGGCAAGGGAGCATATGAAAACATCAGTCCCAGGGAGGGGACAGTATCCTACCTCACTACTATATACATGATGACCGGTCCTTCAAACACCATGAAAAAAACTGTTTAAATTGACTATCACTACACAGTGATATCATAGAACACTAGGAGCCCTTACTCCTAGGATATTGGTTTATATTAAGATGGATTTATAGTGCTAAATACTGTCTAACTGCCTTTAGTTGAGTTTAAATTGTAAAAGCATCTTCTGTGTTTTAAAGCTGTAACCTGTCACTGGTATACTATCTCCTGGGAGGGGTGTAGAATGTGCGTGTGAGTTAGTTTGCTTTGGGGTTTCCAAATACAAAATGAAAGTTCCCAGAATTGGAATAAAAGTGTGTGTAGCTTCAGTTTTCAGTGAAGCTAGTATTTTAATTGTCATATCTGATGTCAGATCATTGTTATTAAGTCCTTTCCCTCTTGAAAAGGAGACTTGCTTTTTTTAAAAATTTGCTTAGAAATTGAACTTCAGAAATAACTTCACAGTTAATGTGGACTGCAGTTACTCCTTCTGTTATAGTACCCTAGTAAATATCTACAGTGGAAGAACCCTGCTTTCTCTGAGGATGGTTCAGCTCTTTTCTGTTTGATATTATGCACTCATAAATTTACACTTATCTATTAAAATTTGCCATTTTATTAAACATTTTTTTCATGCACAATAGGTTTAAATTTCTTATGAACAGTCCAACTAAGTTTTTTTTTATTATTATTTTGCGGAGTTAAAGGTTGGCTATGTGGGGTGACATCATGAAAATAAAAATAAAGAACATTAATATATTTTTGGTTTGCGGGGCTAAACATATCTGGTTGACCTTGAAGACTGATGTGCGGATGGTGTGCGCATGCTTCAAAATGCTGCTTGGTGGAAGCTGGTGTTTCTACTTGCAGTGCACCGTAAGAACAGTTTTTGTTTCACAGGCTTCATACGCTGAAGCTTAAGCTAATTTCTGAAGTATTGGAACAGTTCGCTGTAGCAGGTGAAATACTGTGCTTCCAGCGAGTTTTCATTTTTCCCTGGAAAGTGCACACTAACACTGATACATCAGTTTCAGTGTTGCGAAAAAATACCAGTAAAGTTTGCTGTTCATAAATCTACGATATATAGAGTAGGGCTAAATGGATTAGATCCATTTATAAAGCTGTGTGATTTTTTTTTTTTTTTTTTATTCTAAACAACCAGGAACAACCATTTGTAATATGGATTTTCACAATGAACAAAGTGGTAATAGCTGCTGTCACCAGCAGTTGGGAACACTTACTGGTGCGGAAATACTAAGAATACATTTAATGATTACTTGGTGAAGTAATTTTCCACATGCTTTTTCCTTTAGCATCATGTTTTGTGTTGTACAATTAAGCTACAATTACATCTACTATTTTGGATAACATTCATTGGTTAACAATAAAGAGATACAGTTAATTTCTGAGGTCCATTGTTGTTATTTAATGTACTTTTTTGACAGCTTTGCTAAATGCACTGTAATAGCCTTTTTCCAGAGCAATGTACATATTTTGATCATCTTTTGTTTCACACTCTGATCAAAATGAAATTTAAAAACAATAATTTCAAATGTATCCCTAGAGAATGGTACTCTGCTTAAGAAATTACCACATATAGTTGGGAGGAAGCACTGGTGAGTGTCAATTCAAAACAGGATGTGAATCATCAGAGCTAATTGACTTCCTTGAGAACAGAGGGTAATTTTGCCACATAAGAGCTCTATGGGTAATGTAAGAACTTTCAATCACTGCCTACATATTGCTTAGCCCCAGGTCAAGTGAAATTTAGTTTAATAGGTCAATGTCTTAAGCATTGAGAAACCTTGATATGGTTTTTTTGATACTGCACATCATAGTGGACAGTGCTGTCAAATATATGCATGGCCATATGCTTTAGATAGTGGCAAGTTTGTGGGCTTTTTCACCTGTGTAAGACACTTAGAGATGGAAGGAATGGTTCCATATAAATAGGTATACAAATCAATCTGCTGAGCAGCACTCACATAAATTAGACCTCCTCTCAGGTGACAGACATTCCATTCTATCTTGCACTTGTTTAGCCCTGCACTTAATACAAGCACATGACCCTTTTTGTTTCTCCACATGGTACAATTGCTATGATGAATTGAAATGTGTGTACTTGATACTTTTTACCGTGTGTATTTCCAGTTTTATACTTCTCTCTTCTTGGAG